TAAAAAACACATTTAATGCCAATCGACATAGTTTAAGAGGACAGGCTCCTGCATATCTCTGGCAGAGATTCCCAAGTGAGATTTGTAAGAACTGGCTATGCTCTCTTCAAACTTTTAAGAGCACCCAAATCAAACAGGTCACACAACTAGTTTTTTCCAGCCTCCTTTACAAATAAACTACAGGCATTAATATGGACCTCAAAACACAACCTTCCAACTCAAATACACAAGACAAGGCCATGCTTACACCCCAAATTCTCATCTCTCTCAAGAGCTCTTCATTGTGTGGGTGATTCTGGGCTTTCAGATCACCCCTTCAGCAATGTTTCTCATGTCATGAGTGATTTTGTTTGGTTTAAGAAACACATGTAAGAAAACCAATTAGACCAAAGAGATGTGTGCTTGTCTAAGTTTCTTTACAACAGGTTAGTATTTCAGCCAAAACCCACTTGTTTTTCTACTGAGAGATGAAGCATCCCTTTCTGAAAGGAGGCTGTACTTCCTCTTACACACAGACTTTGTACATAAGAGATGGCCTCCTACACAGAGCTTTCAGATTTACCATTACATCAGTCTTACTGCACATGCAAGCCTTTCATCAGGGACAGACACTTGAAACTAGCATTTGCCCACTTCCTTCCACTATAGCAGTGTTGTGACTAGGTTATTCATCCAACCCCGATAACCAATTACCCAATGAAAGAACAGGCAGATGGTTCTAGAGGCAGTATTTAGTAATGGTCAGTCAGAATCACAGGATGATGCAGATCTCTCTGAAATCCCAATACAGATCCTGTCAAACCAATCTCATTTGATTAGATTCACTGGCTTTGACTTATAAAAATAATGGCATGGACGAAAGATTTTTGGAAGGGTGTTTGACAGCGTACACCGTGACATGATTCTTACACAATAGGTAGTATGGAGAGTCAGTAGAGCATTAAGTAAATGAAGACTGAAAAATACTTTTAGGTGTGTCAGTCAAAAAAGCAATTACAGAACAGACACACTCCAGCACGCGTTTAGCAGTAGTTATTAAGGTCACCATTATCATCAGTGGGGTGGAAAGACAGTCACTGATGACAGGATTTGCATACAAAACATTGGCAGGCAAGTACATAGAGAGGACACTGCTGTCATGTTCCATGATCTAAACTGCTTCAGAATATAATCCCATTCAAACGGCGCTGGTTAATGCAGTACAGAGGCCAGCTGCTCACCAGTGTTCTGGGGCTCCTTCTGAATATCAACTTAACGAAGTTTGTTCGAGGGCCTACAGTGAGAGTCAGCAGTTCTTGACTCAGCTCATTAATGCAGAGCTCAGGAAGGAGCAAACCCTCACTTGCTAATCCAGACAACTACTGCTACAGCCGGGCTGCATTACTGAGGAACTCTGGGAGAAAGGCATATTTTCTGTCTCTGATTTTTTTCCCCCCTCTCCTCAAAAATAAAACAGCAGGTGTATGTCACATTCAGGTGTCACCCTAACTCAAGCATCATTTCTAATAAAGTATGTACTGATCTCTATTTATTTGATTACTTTGAACTGCAGATTTTAAAATGTAAAGCAGACTTTCCTGTAGTCTCAGCCTTGGGCTTCTGAAGATTTTGTAGATTAGTCATTCACACTCTCTCTTCCTCCCCATTCCGGACATGATATAAGACAGCCTGGCTCAAACTGTCAATATTTCAAAGAAAGAAGGTTATCCTCAATGGGATAAAGGTATACTTTTTCCTCCATCATATCAAGATCTATAATCTCACTGTCTTTTAAGTGTTTGTCCTCCGCTTTCAGAGTATCAGAGCTTCAAAGACAGAAAGAAAAATATGAACATCTATAAAACTCCTAAATTCTCACGAGTTTTTGGCACAAGCTTTGTATTTCAAGGTTGCTGAAGTGTCTTTGAAACAAGTGGTTTTCTCCGCTGTGATTTAACAATAATAAATACATAGAGATTACACGAGTAGAACCAATGGTTTCAGACAAGTTCTCATAATGCAAGGAGAAACTGTAAAGTTATATTCCACAATGGACAGAACTGTAAGTTATTATGAAAGTTATCTTAACATGTAATTTGTTTCTGTTTGAAAGCTAGTTGCACTGAATATTCTCTATGTCCAATATTTGTCACAATCACCTTTAAAAAACATCTCTGAAAATATTTCACTCTGCATCTACTGCAAAGTGAAATATTGCATTTATAAGCAAGGTGCATTTGCTTTTAGAAGCACTTGTAAGTTGCATTTATAAGAAACTATTTTTGTTTTACCGTATGTAGTCTAAAAATGTTTTGAATGCTATGTGAAAGGAAAATAATTGTAATAGAATTACTGATAGGCACTGAAAACTAGGAAAGCACAAACAATTCAACAAGTTGAAATAAAACCTACTGAAATAAAAAAAAAACAGTTTTGATAATTTGGGCCATGCCTAGAAAAATAAGAGCAGATTTGCTCTGCTCTTGATATTGTTCAAGGAAAAGACTCATAGATTGTCTTTGTTCCACAGAAGAGAACCATTACACAATTCTAGGAAGTCATAGCCAAATGAAAGCAAACTCCAAATAAGTTATACAGGAAAGTGATTCCCTTCTGACTGGAGTAGCCTCCTTTAAAGCACCAGTGGCTTTCTTTGGTTTAATATAAATGTCAATGTGACAAACTCAATTAACATTACCTGTATTCCAGAATAAAAGTCCCTGCAGAGAGTTGCAGATATATCTGCTTAAATTCACTCAGCCTGCTCCACTTTCATGATCAGGATCTGTGTAATGGTTGCTTATACTACACACAGAGAAAGACTATCCTCAACATTCACCAACAAGGTTAAATCCAGCCAACTCTACCTACACCAATAAATATGCATAATTTAATAAAAATCAGTTACTGCGAGCTCCTTTTTCATTAATAGCTTTTTAATTAGTTCTGAGGCCAGCCTTTTTTAATCCCACCAGCTTCCATAAAAGCGTGACAAAGTTGTCATATAGATTCTATTCCCTTTCAACACAAGCAAAATACAGAGAACGATGGAAGTATTAGATCAAAGCTCAACTGTCTTGAGAGGTGACTCTGAAGATACTCAGCATGCTATGTAGGTTAACTTTTGATTAATATTTGGGAAAATATTAAATAATAAAAATCAGGTATTCTCTTAAAAATGAACCCTTTGAAATGCCAGAGAGTGGTTTCAGAGAGGTCTGTTATTCATACCTATTTCATAGGAAAAAGGAATTAAGACTTAAACACAGTTCTAAATGAATAATAGCAAGACCTGATTTCTCAATACACATTCATTATAAATATGTTTAGTCAATTAGCACAGTATTTCACAGACCACAGCTGCATGGTTGGCAAGCCAAAGATTGAACTTGGTTCACTGGCAAAAATACCATTTCACACGTTGTCAGTTTGCTGGTTCTATAAAAGCAATCAAGCTGGGTTCTCCTTTGTACACAACATCACTCTGTACAAATCTAATTGACTGACAGTATTAAATGAGGTTTCCCACATGCACAGGAATAGAAATACAGTTCTTTCCTCTAACTGACATCAGCTCTACACATGTAACTAGTAATAATCAAGTATTCAGATATAATTAGTCATTTCAAAATTCCCAAAACTAAGATTAAGCATCTCAGGAACAGAATTCCAAATATCTATTTCAAACACCCACAAAACAGAGCACTCGCAAAGAAGAGGAATTCCTTACTTCCTTTTGCTCAGGCTGTATCGCCTTGCAGAAATAGATGCATAACCTTTGTATTTGGCTTCTCTTTAACCAATCTCTAACCTTCAACTATCTCTTTCCTTCCAGGCACCCACTCCGGATGCTGAGATAGAGCCACAAAGTGTCACACTGTGACAGCAGACAAATGGTGATGGTTAACAGTAACTGGGAAGACAAGTTCAGCCCCTGCACTACACTTTAAAAGAGAGTTCTCTCTAACGAGATGACACACATCTTACTTAAAACAGGCACATACTATAATAAGAATCTGTAAACATTAACAACCTAAGAGTAGGCTTATTGCATAACTTTTTAAACATTAGACATAGCCCTCAAAACTGTTTCCTGACAAAGCCTTCTCCCTCATTTAGGGTGCTCTAAATCACTGGTGCACTGATTTAGCAGAATGCCAGAAGTGCTTTCTTTAGAGTTCTTACTGTCACCTATACTGCTAACAGCAAGTGCCTTAGCACATGCCACAGCTTGTGTAAACCAGATGGTCAGCGTTATTTTAACTTAATCTATTGATCCGAAGTGCAATAGGCAGATCCTAAGATTTTCCCGAATGCAAGTGCCGAAAAGATCAGCAATTATCAGCTCCTGCTAATTATTAGCATGTGAATAGCTGTAAAACTATCTGGAAGTATGCATATTCCTTAAAACAGAAACAACAGTTTCCAGTTTACAGGTAATGAAACTAGAAGACAGCGTTAAAGAAAATACTAAAGCTGCAACTGACTCGAACTAAAAAAAGGCTCAAAGCAAAGAAGGATCAAAAGCCCTTCAGTTCCTGGCTCTCCGAATTCTTGGTCAGTAAAATCAAACACCTGGAAAAATACCAGATGCCTATTCAAACTTCGTGCAAAACAGTCGCCCTACAAGAGATAAGTTTAAAAACCCCTCATAACAACAAAATCCAAGTTGTTAAAGCAGCCTTTTAACGCGTACTGAGCTAACAACTCGCAAAGTCAGCAGAACTCCCATCCAGGAGGCAGAATCTTGTTCGATTCTGTTCCCTTGTTCAACAGCTCTTGTCACCCGAGCACTCGCTTGGATCATATTAAAAGTAAAAAGGGGGGGA